AACCCTGAAATGAAACAGTCACTTCCATGGTAGGTAGAACCTGAACCTTCTAATTTCCTGCAGTGATTTCAATGTGTGGCCAGGGACCAGCAGTGTCAGCAACATCTGGGAACACATTACAAATGTAAATGTGGGCCCCACTCTGTCCCACTGGATTAGAATTCCTAGGGGGTGGGGCTCAGCATTGTGTCTTATAAGCCCTCCAGGGGATTCTGATGCAAAGAGAGCCTGAGAACCACCCTCCAAAAACCAGTCACTTCCAAAGAGTATCAGAGGGTCTTTGTACTACTTGACCAATATGTCCTCAATATGTCCTCAAGCACTGTCGTTCTCCTAGGAAAGGACCCACTGAGGATACTCTAGCAGCATTTTTTAAAAGTTAAAATGGGAACAGGAGATAGGGCTCTATCTCCACAATAAAGCTATGTGGGATAGTGTCATTTATGACAAATAAAAAACTACCGAATTCTGGATTAACTTGACTGGACTGGCCAACTTATAAATCAGCAGGACACTCTAGAAAGAAACAGTCCTGAGTGGGGTGCTCTTGGTTGCATACATGCTCAATAACAAGTACTTGGAGCCAGAATGCCCAGGTTCAAATTCTAGTTCTTCCCAGAGTGAACAGGTTTCCTGATATATAACAGTAGCTCTAACCATGTAGCATTGAGAAATAAATGAGTTATTTGTCCATGATTCTTAAGATCGTTTCAATCTGATGTAAATGGGAAAAACTGTTTGACAATTGAATTGTAAGATTCACTCTTTGCAGTGAATCAGAAGGATTAACCTCAGTAGTTAACAGGTTTTAGTTGGCCCCCACCTGTGTTTCAAAGGCTGTCTGGAAGGCCAGAACGTGAACTTGGTGCTTGATATCTCAGGGGCCTTTCGTTGAGTTCCTCTTACTAACCTCCCCTGTGGGAAGCCTTGCTGACTAGGATATCTGCTTGTCTGAAAACAAGCTTTCGCCTATGAATAGAAAGATTGGCATTCAAGTGCCAAGCAGAAGCGAGTCCTACTAAAAATAAATGCCCTTGGCAGCCTCAGAAGTGCCAAAACAAATGGACTGAAGAAATTCCAGTTGATGATAACACCCGCATGCTCAAGCTGAGAGGAGGGGGTGTGAGCAGTTTGAATACTTGGCCCTGCTAGACCCAGCAGTGTGGCCAGGTGAGCTCTTCTGAGTAGTTGAAGTTCAGCCTGGGCCTGATTCCCAGAAACATCTCCATGTTCCAGGCATTGCTGTGGACACTCCTGCCAAGGTGTCACTACCATCCTCCAGACACATTTGGAGCCACTGGGGCTTGGTGTTTATTATAAGGTCTCTGCCGTTTTTTACTGAAGCTTACATATTGCTCTTCCATGTAACCCATGCAGGGACAATTAGACAATGGCAGGCAGGCTTCTGTTTGCATTAAAACCCTGAGTTTCTTGGGGCCAATGAGCTGCCAACATGTCTGGGTAGTTCACTGTTTAGATATGCAAGGCTCCTGGGACATGGAGTAAGTTTGCATGGTCTGACTCCATCTGTGTAAGTGACAGCGTGAGTGAGTAATCCTTCGACACTTCATTCAGTACAAGTTTAAATAGCCGTGTGTGTGACTGGGTGCCTGTGATGTGCCACCCCCTGATCCAAAGGGATAGGGATATTCAAAGTGTCAGCCCAAGAGTTGGAATTCTTAAAGCCACAGAGCCCTTTTCACATTCTTCCATGTAACTCCAAGACAAGAGAAAACCACCCTGCTTCAAACCTACTTCTGTCCCGCCCTGTAGCACGCCTAGCTCCTCTGCTTCACAGGTGTTTTCTTCAGGCATCGTTGGCTCTAGCTGAGCCTACGAATTAAAAGAACCTCGGGTGTGCGTGATTTCAAGTTCATCCTGTTCCCTTTATGAGAGTCTAATGCTGAACTTGAGACTTGACTGTCCTGGATGGAAACAGGCTAAGGTCCACAAGCCTGTCATCCCCAAAGCTTCGCAAACCAAAAGCGTCTTAACTCGCCCGGTGCTTTCGGCTCTACTGTGGGCAGCAGCATCCCCAGGGGAACCCGGAGGCAGAAGGCAGAATCCTTCTGACGCTCAGACAGAAAGCTGGTGTTGCAGGCAGGTGGCCGTGGCCTTAGCACTGGAGTTCGTGTCTGAGCTCTGCCGCCCAGCACGAGGCAGGGAGTGAACAGAACCGGCGAGCACCTTCTGCCCAAGAACCATCTCCGGAAACAAAGCACTCGGGAAACGGAGAGACATGGCCATGAAGCTGAAGGCCTTTATCTGCCTCGCTCTCTAAAGGGTCCTTTACAAAGCCTGACAGCCTCGCCCAGCCCATCTCACTCCTTCTGTAAACAAGCGGGGACATTTAGGAGCAGGCTGTGCTCCTAACCCCGTGTGTTAGGAGCTTCTTAATGGAGGGCCGTGTGTGTGTGTCCTGGGAAAACAGCTTTATGGCAGCCAGGCAGAAGCCTCGGGGGAAGTGGAAACAGCTCAGATAAGCAAAGGTAGAAACTACACTCCTTTTCATCTTGGGCTGTTGGACTAAACCACATGTGTCAAACACAAGGCCCGTGGGCCAAATCCGTCCCGCCAGGCCTTGCAATGTGGCCTGCACCACGCTGTCATCACTGCACTCCGCTGCGTTTCCATCACAATGACAGTTTATGACTGTTCAGTAAACCATTCGGCCCGCGATTTAGGCTGGATTTTAGATTTTGGCCCCTTCTCTGATTGAGTTCGACACCCCTAGACTAAACACTAAGAAAATGCTCGTGTCTGCCCTGAGCCTGCTCAGTATCAACGCGGGAAGCAGCCTGGCTGGAATGGTTTATGTCTCCTGTTAGTGTGGACAGTTTGTATGTTAACAGCTACCTTCAGAGACCCTCTGGAAAGGAACATTGGACTAAACGTCAGGCTTAGGGTGTTCTGTGTCTGTATTTAATCCGAAGACAGCTTGAGTGTCTATAACATATGTAGCTTCCAGGTGCCTCATTTGTAAGGAGATTTCCAGGTACCTCACCCTGACATCATGTGACACCTACTTTTAAGTCCATATCTAAGTCTGACCATAGGATTACCTTTTTGACAGTGTAGATATCAATGTCAGTGTTTTTGTCTCATTTTGACCTTGGGTGACTAAAACCTTTAAAAAGTTCAGAGCCTTTCAGTCTACACAGTATCCTCACTATAAACCAGCTGTTCTTTCCAAGTACATTTATATCTATGTACTCTATCAATTGTTTTCCCCCCCTACTTTTTAAAAGCAATATTTAACGTAGATTCTTATTCCTCCCACAGCCCTCAAACATGGTAGGGATATAGAACTATAGCCAGTGGCCCCTGGAGCAGGTACCCCCGCCCTGAGCATATTGAGAATACACTGAGACTAGACTGATGATGGGGGAGAGCTGGGAGGCAGACAGCTATTTCTATTATATACAAACTAGCAGGCGACGCCTCCTGACAGCAACCTCTACTCTCCCCTGTTTTCCCTTCTAAATCCCTGGTATCTTATACTCAACAACATATTGTGGGGCGAATGAACAGTCTGAAATGTATGTAGGAAATGCAATAGAATCACACTGCTTTTTACCTGGGTCTTAGCTTAACTAGACTCTTGGGAGCAGGTTTTAAACAAATACGTTTAGTACCTAAGAAAATAACCACGCCTGTATGGTGAACTTGATTTGGACCAAATTTTAATCTCCCTGGGAATTTGCTGCAAAGCACAGAATCCTCCCAGACAGTGGGGAGTAGCTGACAGTAGGGAGGCTAACTAGTGTATTGTGTGCATAACACAAGAGTTCCAGGCTGTGCTTGTCACTGCGGCATCTGTTCTGACGCCAGCATGTCACAGCTGCAGATGCTGAAAGATGGCAGGAAATCGGAAGCCCTCCCTAAGTAACCTGCATGAACTATACATGGCTCTACTGGGTTTCTCGAATATTTGCAGGATATTTGCATTAAGCAACCGGATCTTTGCCTGTTATCTCAAAGACATCATATCCTCCAGAAGGACAGACCTGCTAATGATGGGAAACATCTGCATGTTAGCTGTCTGTGCTAGGCGAAAAAACAACACCTAAGTGCCCTACTTATTTACAAGAATTAGTTCATATCATTGTGTGAGTTAAATGTTTACACATTGAACATAAGAAAACTGAGGTTTGGAGAAATGGAACCCAAGTCTGTGGCTCTACCTTACCTTACTTGCTTTTCTCCTATCCCTAAATTAAAAAAAAAAAAAAAAAAAAAGATTTTCATTTGTCTCTTAACTATACCTTCGTGATGCTTTGTATCTTATCTTGGAGTTAGTGTGTAAACATGTGTTTTTTGCAATCAGATCTTAAGGTCTAAGATGAGGAATCATAGTATTAAACCTCTATGTCTCCCCTTTCCTTGCTGCTCCTTCTAAATCTCCTTCACTTTGCTTGTAACAGGAGCATCGTTCATGAAAAACAATATGACGTGGACCAGAAATGCCATTGAAGGATTAGGATTTGGCTGTGTGGTTATAGCCACACAAGTGGCTTTTAAACATATGAGAGGAGTGAGTCCTGAGCACGTGGAAATGCCCCATGTTCTCTGGGCAATCTAGATCCCTTCTATCTTGATCTGGCTGCATTGGCCCAAGACCACTATTCCAGCCACCAGGCCCAAATTTCAGGAACCAGAAAGGAATGAAGGGAAGGAAAATAGAGGATATTTCCTAGAAGTTGTATATGCCCATCCTGCTTACAGTGCATTAACCAGAATTGATTCTCATGGTGATTCCTCATTGAGAGGGAGGCTGGGAAATCTAATCTCATCTAAAAGGTGTGTGCCCAGCTAAGAACTCAGTTACTATCTGTCACTGCCCAAGACCCATCCAAGTCTTCCTCTTAGAATGTGTTAGCCTGCCAAATGTGCAGCTGTCCTTCTCAGAGGACCCCTGTCCATTGGTTTTGAGTAACTGGAATCTCTATCTTATAACCCCGATGTCTCAGGCTTAGCTAAGTGTTCCCTTCTGATTTTAGGAAGAAAAGCCAAATGTGAAACTAACCAATTCCAGTGCACAAATGGCCGCTGCATCACACTGTTGTGGAAATGTGATGGGGACGAAGACTGTGCTGATGGCAGTGATGAAAAGAACTGTGGTGAGTCAAGAGTTTGACAGTCTCACTTGCCACCTCACTGGGAGTTGTGCATTTAATTGAAAAGTGGTGATGTTATCTTAGTTTCTATGAATGTATCGAGATTCTGAAAATAGAACCCACTCCTAAGACTTCCTTTGAACCAGAGTCCAAAGATTCTGTCCTCCCTGGTCTAGAGGAACATAATTGAATGTTTGACATGAGGTTATCAACCTAGGTACAGAATGTTGAAGATAAACTGGAGTCCCTTTCAAACGACAGGACCTGGTTTATCTGAGACCAGGCAAACATTTGGTGTAGGAAGCTAGGAGAAGGGAGGGGAGGGCCAGAAGTGAAGATAGACAGAAGACTCTTTAGAACAGACTTTCTTTGTTCAGTTTTCAAATAGCTTTGATTTCCTCCACACACATACGCGCACACACACACACACACACACACACACCTAAAAAAGGAAGTCACAGATAGTAAAAAGATCCCGTAAAGTTTCATGGGGTCAATTAACTCCTGGCACAGAAACTACAAGCCAGCTCAGATCGAAGATTAGATAAGAATTATTCTTTCATTTTCTGTCTACAATAGATGCTAATTCTAAAGCATGAGACAGGGTGGAAGACATCTCTCCCAAGACAATGGGGTTATACCATTGTGCCCTTTGATCAGCATCTATGAAAAGATCATTGTGAGGAATGCTTGTTGGTGCAATCTGTATAACCTCATGTCAAGCCAGAACAGCTGAGAACTACATGTTCTCATGTAGGTACCTGACCTCTTTGTTCTAGGCTGTAAAAATCCTGAAATAACATAGTGTGTGAATGCCAGTGATGGCATCATCATCTGCCTTTTAAAAGATGTTATATAGAGATCTTTACTATACAAACTAGAAATACAGAAGAAAACTAGCTTGATGTAAATTCCATCAACTGCTATCTTGTTATACCATTACCAGTTTCTTCATGCATCATTACTAACATGTTATAGTGTAAACACTATAGCTGGTTTTCCTGTGCTTGAGCTCTCAGCAATACCATGGGTGTTTTCATGCCAATCTATGGATTAGTAGTTTATGTGGAAGCACAGGAATCCATTCTATAGTCTCAGGGAAGAAACTTCTCTCCAACACGAAAATTAGTACTGTGCAACACTTCTCCATCATTTGCATTCTAGCACCAAGATTTTCATCTACTTTATAAGACACTCAGTCCCATGCTATTTTTAGGTTTACTTAGGTACTATAATTCCTTCTGTAACTATCCCCCTCATAGGAACTCACTCTGGTCAGCTGTTCTCTTGGTGTAAAGTAGTAATTCTTCTTCTAGTCTAAACTTAGATATTTGGCAAAACCCACTGTTTTTTCTTGGAAAATAATTATTCTCTTCATGGGTGAGAAGTCTTCTTTTACCATCTGACTAATTCTGTAAGGGGAAGTCAACTAAAAGCTGACAATTTGCTGAAGATTTGAAAGGGATTGCTTCAAGTGAGGGGTTAAACTTGGTCCCACTCTCAGAGTTTCGAGTGTCCTAAGGAGAGGGCCACTCTGGTTCAGCCTCTGATGTTGTATAGGGGGAAGCAATGATTAGAGTCATTTCCTAGTAGGAACGAACCTGGGTCACCTTAGGGTCATCGCTGGCTTTTCCTAAAACAGTCTTTGCATAAATAACGTCCAGTCATATGGCAGGAGGGTTTGGAAGAGGTAAAGAGAAGGATGTGTATCAAGATCACATTAGATGGAAAAAAATTAAATATTTCTTCACCAGAATTTGTTTCCGCCTCCCAGTTATGAAAGTAACATTAACACTGGGGTTTTGGTATGTTCAGTGATTTTAGAAATAGATGTGAATCTAAGAGCTAATGAGGCCTTTCTTGTTTCCTTGGCTACATAATTCAAGGGGATGAATAACCCTTTTTGAATCATCATAATTCCTCATCTTGAGTTCTAGAAATTGACTCTAATCACTGTCTCCCCACTTTATAATATCAGAAGCTAAACCAGAATGGCCCTCTCATTTAGGATACTCTAAATGTTGTACCTAGTTTAAACCCCTGTCTTGAAGTGGTCCCTTTCCAATTTTCAGCAAATTGTCAGCTTTTAGTTGACTTACTATTACAAAATATTTGTTAGAGAAGAATGTTTTAAACTAGAAATTCCGATAGAAGGTATAGACACCTGGGTAAGGAAGAACATAGTCTGAGAAGGATGAGCCTAGAGAATATCCTATGTGGCTACTTTTTAAGACTCTTCCTAACCTTTGACTTCCTTGTGGGTCGGGTGACCAAGCTGCTTGGTTTACTTAGGATAGTCTTGGTTTGTGCTTATCTTCTTGGTGCAATGAACAGTGTCCCCTTTCTACTGAGATTGTTCCAGTTTGGACAATAAATTGCATGGTCACCCTAATTACAGGAGAAAAGGCCCACCCTAGTAAGAATTAATAGCAAAATGGATACCTTGCAGGTTATTTTAACCCTGGCCATCAGTTATGGGTATTGGCAACTTCAATCACTTCAAGCTGGATTCTGAACACCTCTCCTGAACTTGGATTCCAGCTCTGTTTATTTCTTACTGGGTGGGTTCCTCTCCCCAGTAGACCTGTAGGGGTGACAACATTCAGTACTGGAGCTTCATCTATCTCTACACCATGTGTTGTCAAGGTATGCCCCTAGAGCAATTATACTATGATCCAGTCATAGGATGGACTGTTTGGCTATTCAGTTTATAAAGGACTTGAAAGAGTTGGAAGAAAAGCATGAAGAGAATGAAACTATTACTTAATCTCAACATTATAAAATAGACAAGAGCTGTAAGGAATCCCTGGATTATAAGATAGTTGGAAACCTTTGTCTTATCTTGACTTTAGTATCCTCCAAGTTTCTTAAGTAGGCACCTTTGTCCTCTAGGAAGGGAGAGGGTTTTTCTATAGTTCTCCTGGATATTGGCAGTTGGGTGCTAATTGAATCAGCTTTATTTTACAAGTAAAATACACCAAAATGCAGTTTTACCCCCATGGGATTATAGGGCTCTTGGGTAAGGGACTTCAACTTTAACCCTGAAAATGAACTTTTGTAGAGAAGAAGACATGTGCTGAGTCTGACTTTGTATGCAACAATGGCCAGTGTGTCCCCAGCCGATGGCAGTGCGATGGGGATCCCGACTGTGAAGATGGCTCTGATGACAGCCCAGAACAATGCCGTGAGTGTGCCTTGCTTTAGACTTGAACTTTTCTAAGCCGTCTGTGTCTCATATCTCTACATATTGCTTAATGCAATACTTCGTGTTAATTTCCTTTGACTTCCTTGAAGTGTAGGCCAATTGACTCCAAACTCAGTCAAGTCATGAACAGTTGATCGGTATCCTCTAAAGAATGTTCTCCCTAGTCTAACAAGACTGACGTTCTCTTGGGTAGCTTCACTATTGAACATTTAAGACTGAAGCCAGCAGACTTCATTAAGAACTCCTTGACTAGGTGCACAGTTTTCAAATGTTTGACAATGATGAATATGAGCAGATGGTACTCTGGTCCTGGAAGCTAAGTCAAGATGTAAGGATCCCCTGTAGGCCAAATATAAGCTTTTAGATACACAACTTCTCATTTTATGGGGGGGAGGCGAAGTGGGGAGAATCTGTTACTGAAGAGGTAGAGTGACTAGAAGTAGGGTGATATCGTTATTTTGAACAAACATGAAATCTAAAACTATTAAAGTAGGAAACATAGCTTGTTCTTAAATAAGATAAATTTCATAGTTAAGCAAATGTATATCTGAGTTCTTAGGCTGATATTCAGGGAAAAGCCTATGAGGTGATAGAGGAGGAGGATTTGCAATTATTTGAATGTCAAGATAAAGAAAGTCTAGGAGTTCATTTTTAGGCAATAGAGACCTATTGGAGCACCACATGTGGAGGACCAGTGAACAAAGTTTCAGTTGGGAAAATGGTTACCAAAGAAAATCAAGCAGAAAGGAAAATAAGTGTGTGATATCAATTTTCTAGGCAGGAAGCAAGGGGAATAATAAGAATCTTGGTTAAGGCATGTAAGCTATTACATATAAAGACGGGTTCCATAAAGATTCAGCCCCATGTTTTCATAGAGGATGACCCAGTCAAGTCAAAACATATGGGATGTCACTACTTTGCAAAATGTAAATCTAAAGGAGGTTGTGAAGGAGGCCTGTAAAGGAACCTAGAAGGAAAGCTTCATGAGTCTTAGACCATCTGGCCATTAAAAAAAAATTGGGACTAGATATGTGGGTGTACCACCTGATAGCCAACAGATAAACAATGGTCAAGGAGCAGGCCAGCCAATACACCTAACTAGGCCAAGTAAAACAAAAGCCCAGAACTGGGCACTCCACGGAACCTTGAAGGAGTTACACGGTCAAGGCTCTCAGGTGTACTGCCAGGTAGCATAGGTTGGCATGGCTTCTAAGCAATGGCGCTGGCAAAGGATCTACCCAGGCTGCAACCAGTAAGTCGAATTTCACCAGCATGCCAGGCCACTGAGTCATATAGGTGTACCACTTCCACGCAGCGCAGGAGCAGCGACTTTGCCCTGATGAGTCTGGAGGCTCTTTTGAGACTGTATATCATCAACAGATATGAGAACGTGCCGCACAAATGAAATCAGCTGTGGCGCCCACTCTACTCAGTGTATCCCAGAGTCCTGGCGATGCGATGGTGAGAATGATTGTGACAGTGGAGAAGATGAAGAAAACTGTGGTAAGAAGATCAGTGTTGAGTGGCTTGTCCCAAAGACCCTTTTGCTCAAAGAAGGGTGGGCAGGGGAAGCTAACTTAAGCATGAAGATGCAGTTACGTTGACTCGCTTTTCAGTGACTTTACTATCTGCTCAGCTACTTGTCCTTCCTAACCACCCCAAAAAGTCTGAAAGAAGTTCACATGGTCATGGCCATGGCTTGCTTTGGTGTTTCTTCTAGACAAATAGAAATACAAAGGTAAGTCATTCAAGGCACTTACATGTAGAAGTAGCTCAGTCGTGCACCAAGCGTGTGGGCTTTTGTCTCTGTGAGGACAGTAATGCATGGGCCTTCCTTACGTTGGCGCCATCCCAGAAGGGGAATAGGGCCAGCAAACTCATTCCTAGGTCTAACTTGGATCTCCATATTGAAATAAATTACTTGGGTATCATACCAGCATTTCTTAGCTCCAAAATCAGATTCTATGTTGACATTTCCAGAAGTTAAACTGGCATAGCCGTGTTCGTGAACATCATGTTATTAGCAGATACCCGAAGAAAAATTACCCAACTAGTGGTAGTTTTGTCTTCTGTCAGTTTCTACCTGTAAAAGCCAACTCTGTTTCCTTCCCTTTCATGCTTCTGTTCTTGGAAAGTGTGTAATAAATGCTACACCTTAAAGGTGAGGCCCTGGGAAAATCTCAAGGTTGAACAAACATTGTTTTGAACACACTTTCAAGTTACCGCCCTTTTTATAAGGCCTCTATCACCACAGCTGCCCAGGAGCACAGGCCTCCTGATGCAGTAGTGTGCCGGTGAGCTGAGGACGCTTGCAGCCGAAACACGTCCTCTGTGTAGAAATTACCTTTGGAGGTCAATACCACTGCACCTAGTCCAATGAGTTTTGGTGTTTAACCCTGGAATTGAGCTTTATGTGTTGGTAAGCCCTGGAGCTGCCAAGTGTTTCCCTCTTAAATCTAGACTTTGCTTCCCAAGAGAGCCGCGGTCTCTACCGTTATTACCACCAAATTGTGACTGAATCCATTTGGCCCGAATTTGAATCAAAGTACAAACTGGCTTATCTTTGACTCTGATTAGCTTATTATTATTAGCATACCTGGCTGCTAGACTGTCATGCTAGCCCTTGAACTGACTTTCTAAAACTCTTAAGTATTTAAGACCTGTTAGTCCTGATCCTCATTTGAAGGATGTAAAGAGGAGCCATGCATGGTGGGATAACATAATGGCTCCTTTCGGGTGATTGTGTGATAATGCTTATTATGAGTGTACATTTGTCTGAATACCTGATGCATGATCGTCTCAGCTATGATGTGGTCTGGCCTAATAAGCACTATGTCCATTTAAAGATAACTCAGTCTCTGCCTTCCAGAAAGGAATTCCTTGTTTAAGTTATTGATCACTTCCAGTAAGAGTCCACTGTGGCTCTCATCTCAAATTAATTTCTGGTCTTCAACTCTTTTCTTGGTCCTTTATTTCAGTTCTTATTCAAGTGTCCCTGCATCTTTTATGTGGTGAGACTGTTCCTGGTATTCCAGGAACTCGGATATTGATGTAATTGCACTTTAGCTTTTTAAGTTAAGCTAGGATTCATGATCAAAGGTCTGCAGGTTAGATTTCCGGACAAAAGTCCTGAAAGGTCCAGTCCGATACACTTTCAGTGGGGCCTCCTCTCTTTCAACAGGCAACGTAACGTGCAGCGCTGATGAGTTCACTTGCTCCAGCGGCCGCTGCATCTCCAGGAACTTTGTGTGCAATGGCCAGGATGACTGTAACGATGGCAGTGACGAGCTCAACTGTGCCCCGCCTTCCTGCGGTGCCCACGAGTTCCAGTGCAGCGCCTCCTCCTGCATCCCCCTCAGCTGGGTGTGTGATGACGATGCCGACTGCTCGGACCAGTCTGATGAGTCCCTGGAGCAGTGTGGCCGCCAGCCCGTGATCCACACCAGATGCCCAGCCAGCGAGATCCAGTGTGGCTCTGGCGAGTGCATCCACAAGAAGTGGCGGTGTGACGGAGACTCAGACTGCAGGGATGGCAGCGATGAGGTCAACTGTCGTACGTAGCGTTCTCATCCGTGTGGCATGTTCGGTTCCCTCCCACGGATCTACTGGGGACAACTTGGCTGGCTTCATCCCATGGTGTTTCCTCCCTTTGTAGCTTCTCGAACCTGCCGGCCAGACCAGTTCGAATGTGAGGATGGGAGCTGCATCCATGGCAGCAGGCAGTGTAATGGCATCCGAGACTGTGTCGACGGTTCTGACGAAGTCAACTGCAAAAATGGTAAGGGCTTCTTCGTGTGGGTTTGTCAAGGGACTACCCTGATCGGATCCACCCATGGAGTCTCTCTTCTGTGTTTCTCTTTGTAGTCAATCAGTGCTTGGGCCCCGGAAAGTTCAAGTGCAGAAGCGGGGAATGCATAGACATCATTAAAGTATGTAACCAGGAACAAGACTGCAGGGACTGGAGTGACGAGCCCTTGAAAGAATGCCGTAAGTGAAGCCTTTGCTTGGGGACAGAGCTGGGATGGCTCATTCAATCTAGCACGGCTAATGCATAATGTCTGGCTAAACTACTTTTAATGAATTAAGTTCAATTGTTGGACTTAAGAGTGAATTTTATGACTCAAGAGCCCATCCAGTGACAAGCTAGTTCATAATTTACCTCCTTAAAGATAACTGACCAGAAAGCAACTTGATCAAATCCTGCTTAACCAACTAACCAAGGTGACGGGCTGAAAAATCATAGGTTTGGACAGATTAAGTAGATAAGTTATTGCAGATAGCCTGGATTCTTAATGTTAATAGGACAAATGTCAATTTGGAATAAGTTGTCAAGTAATTCGACAATGTTTTTATTTCAGATGTAAATGAATGCTTGGTTAACAATGGCGGATGCTCCCATATCTGCAGAGACTTGGTTATAGGCTACGAATGTGACTGTGCAGCTGGGTTTGAGCTGATAGACAGGAAAACCTGTGGAGGTGAGTCAGAGAAGAGAGCCTAAGCCCTGGGGGTGGTGGAAAAGGACAGGGTATCTCTGTAGGTTATCTAGGAACAGAAAGACTCATTCTAATTTCCCTCCTAGATATTGACGAATGCCAAAATCCAGGAATCTGCAGTCAAATTTGTATCAACTTAAAAGGCGGTTACAAGTGTGAATGTAGTCGTGGCTATCAGATGGATCTTGCCACTGGCGTGTGCAAGGCTGTAGGTAAATGGACTGGGACTGGTGTTGCTCTGGCATCTTTAAGAGTAAGGGTATCTTTTAGGAAAGGTACAGCTTATGATGACAATCGCCAAATTGAAGATGGAATTAAAATAGTACTTGAGAGCAATGCTACTATAAAATCACAGCACATTTTCTATCGTAGGTTAAAAACAGACCATTTCCCCAGATTCCTGCGTTGGTCTATGCACATGACACCACGAATACCTGCCAGCTTTGCTTACTTTCTGCTTCCAATACTTGAGTGCAATTCAAATGAATAACTTATTCACCAGCAGCCCTATTGTTGAATGCTGAGACCTCAGAACTGCCTTAAGTAGTGGGAAGCACTTGCAGGTCTCTGAGGCGTGGCCTCTGGCACAAGTACTCCTGAGGTGTTCAGCAATGGCTTCACTTTTTTTTTTTTTTTTTTTCCATCCTTGCCCAAGGATATTTTTTCCATTGATTTCTTAGAGAGAGTAGAAGGGAGAGAAGGAGGAGGAAAGAGGGAGAGAGGGTGAGAGAAACATCAGTGTGAGAGACACATCAATTGGTTGCCTCCTCCGGGGGGTGGGGATGGAACCTGTAACCCAGGTACATGTCCTTGACCAGGAATCAAACCTGAGACCCTTTGGGGCATGGGCTGATGTCCTCACCACTGAACACACTGGCTGGGGCGGTGGCTTCGCTTTTTAAGTGCTGCTCTGTTGGGAGGAGGTAGCTTAGAAGGACCCTACCTTCTTGCAGCAATACTAAATACACTGGACTCGTTGTGTCTTGCAGGGAAAGAGCCAAGTCTGATCTTCACTAACCGCAGAGACATCAGGAAGATTGGCTTAGAGAGGAAAGAATATATCCAACTAGTGGAGCAGCTAAGGAACACTGTGGCTCTCGATGCTGACATTGCTGCCCAGAAACTATTCTGGGCTGATCTGAGCCAAAAGGCCATCTTCAGGTAACTTTCAGTTCCATTCTTGGTGTCTTATTTGGTCTAAATTGCTTGGCCTTTTGGGAGGATTTGAAAGAATTTCTCTTGTCTCAAACTGGCATTTAATTAGCTGGAAACAGTAAATCTAAACACCCAATCTTTAACTTTTCCATCACTATCAGTTCCTCGTTACAAATGAACAGTCACCTATGAGATAAAAAGTGTCTACAGCTAAAAGATTATCACAGCTGACATCTTAATTTCTCCTATTTTCTCCCCGTTATAGTTAATTGAGAACCGTTTATGGTTGCTACAGATAGAAATGGTAGTGCATCTTTTCCTTAAGGGGGAACTAGAGAAACTCAGATGGTGGCTACTGAAACAAATAGCTCCACTTAGAAGCATGTGGGTCTGGCATATAGAACACATCCAGCATCTAGATAGCCTACTGTTAACGCAGTATCAGTGAACAGCCCGGCTCAATCATTGGAGCGGTGAGCGGTGTTACTAGATTCTCTCTGAACAAGGCTGTGGACCCTTTTGTAAGCAGAAAATCTGTTCTCCAGGCTCTGATGGCGTCAAACCTCTGAAATTTCTTGTGACCTACTCTGTTTCAGTGCCTCCCTTGATGACAAGGTTGGTAGACATGTTAAAATGATCGACAATGTCTATAATCCTGCAGCCATTGCTGTTGATTGGGTGTACAAGACCCTCTACTGGACTGACGCGGCTTCTAAGACTATTTCAGTAGCTACCCTGGACGGAACCAAGAGGAAGCTCCTGTTTAACTCAGACTTGCGAGAGCCTGCCTCCATAGCCGTGGACCCCCTGTCTGGGTTGGTATTCTGTGTTTTGCATCCTGTAGCCTCTTGGGTGCTGTCTGCACAGGCCAGGAGCCCTCCTCGTGCCTAAAGTAGAACTAAAATATCAAGACCTATCAGCTGCCCTCGAGCAGGAATTGTCTGGCTCAACATGTCATGGCAGGCCCTCCCTCCCAGGGCAGTCCGACTGCTGGTTGAAGTTAGGGAAACAGCATTTCTGACTTGATGAGCAACAGAGGGTGGATTTGAACCCTTATACCCACCCACCTTCTACACAAGGGACTTGTTATTGTTGTCGGAATGCTCTGTCAGGTTAGCTCTGGATGATCAAACCTAAGTCTTAGCATGAGTTGTGAGGATTTTGGTAACATTACCTCAAGGCTTGTCCGAAAATCCAGTTGAAATTGACAGACCTCGCTAGAAACATTTCAGAGAGAGGTTTCCTAAATTGCCACTAAATAACAAACAAAACAGCTAAGGAAGCTAAGCCTACCGCAGTGGTTGGCAGGCTCGCGAGCCACATGCAGCTCTTTGGCCCCTTGAGTGTGGCTCTTCCACAAAATACCATGGCCTGGGCAAGTCTATTTTGAAGAAGTGGTGTCAGAAGCAGTTTAAGTTTAAAAAATTTGGCTCTCAAAAGAAATTTCAGTTGTTGTACTGTTAGTATTTGACTCTGTTGACTAATGAGTTTGCCGACCACTGGCCAACAGTAATCAGAAATGGGCCCGGTGTAACCTCACCAGCACATGATCAGCTACCCCTGCTATCAAACTTAACAGATACTCTTCTTCACTCCTCAGAAAGAATAAGCCTTTTAAAGATGGAACATAGTTCTTCCGGTTTGGCTCAGTGGTGAGGGCATTGGCCTGCGGACTGTAGAGTCCCAGGTTCGATTCCAATTTATGCGTCTCTCTCACAACGATGGTTTTCTCTTCTCTCCCCCTCCTTTCCAATCTCTCTGAAAATCAATGGAAAAAAATATCCTCCTCAGGTGAGGATTAACAAAAAAAATAAAAAATTGAAATAAAAACAATGCATAATCTGTGACTTTTGGCTGACTTAAATGCATTAATATAGTGAATGAACTTGTAGGTTCTTAGTGTTAATTTTGTTTACGCAGAACATGATTTATAGCCTGAAATGTTACTATTTGTCATAATCAATCCCTAGAATTTTCTGTTCACTCTTTGAACGTTTGTCCCAAGCTACAACTTTATTCGTTCTAAAACCACTGAGGCTTAATTCTGATTTAATTCTTCCCAGATTTGTGTATTGGTCAGACTGGGGTGAGCCGGCTAAAATAGAAAAAGCAGGAATGAATGGATTTGATAGACGGCCGCTGGTGGCAGTGGATATCCAGTGGCCTAACGGAATTACACTTGGTACGTATGTCCTTCCTACATTGACCAATTCAACAGCCTTCACCCGGCTTTAACTGATCTCCGTTAATTCTGGACTACAGCAGACAGTGCTAGAGCAGTGACTTTAGATGGAAATAACTGAGCAATGCCAATGGCATGGGGAATTTAAATTACCTGCTTTAATTACTAGCTTTTCTGTCCATTGGGGCCTAATCTCTGACACAAATTCTGTGAATCGTGAGTCTTGGGAACTCTCACCCTAAATACTCCTGGCCCAGATCCCTTAGCATTTCCTGAATTGCCAGCTTTAACAGTTTGTTTGTTGTTGTTTTTTCTGGCTCATAAGGAGAGAACAACAAAATGCCAGCCTCTTTTAAAACTTCTATCATGTAACATTTCTTAAGCCAGTTACTTTGAGAACCTTAGGTACCCCTTGAGTTTCCTGAAATGGCATGCCATTTCACAAGATTTGTGGGACCCCATTAAGAATCCCTACTGGAGCAGGAATCATAAAAGTTGAATATTGGATTCCTCAGAGATTTTAAATGAAAGCCAGAGCAATACTGACTTACCATGCAACGAAATTATTTTCCTGCCTAGACCTCATAAAGAGCCGTCTCTATTGGCTGGATTCCAAGTTGCACATGTTATCCAGTGTGGACTTGAACGGCCAAGATCGGAGGATAGTGCTCAAGTCTCTGGAGTTCCTGGCCCATCCTCTCGCACTAACGATATTTGAGGTAAGATGCCTGCCTCACGTCCAAGTGCATGCCTTTGAGTTACCATAGCACCTTTGGGAGCAAGAGCAGGCATAGGTGAGGGGGGCGTGGGAGGGGAGAGCAGAAGACATGACTTGGAAATCTGCTGTCACTTAAAACCTGGGGCAAGTTAGATATTGATTTTTATAGCACTTTTAAGAAACCTGAACTTGCTCTCTTAGTTTTACTTCCAGTATCCCAAACCAGCCTTAAATAACTTGGTCCATTAATTTGCCAATAAATAATAATGAACTTAGACAGTGATTTGTGTTAATCCTACACATACGTGCTAATTTGGGGGTTCTGTTTTAGGATCGTGTCTACTGGATAGACGGGGAAAATGAAGCCGTCTATGGTGCCAATAAATTCACTGGGTCGGAGCTGGCCACGCTAGTAAACAACCTCAATGATGCCCAAGACATCATTGTCTATCATGAGCTCGTCCAGCCATCAGGTAACGGGGGAAGCAGGAGCCTTCGTGGCCTCTTTAAGGGCAGGAGCATGACACAGTACCTGTGGGGTATTCAGTAGCTTGTTAGCAATTCAACTTGCTCTAAAATGAATCTTTTCCCTTCTATACCAAACATGTCAAACCTGGAGTTTGGGATATTTTATTTCTGACTTTCTAGTAAATGAGCTTCAGGACTTGAGCTCTCCTATTCCCTCCCAACCTTCCATGTTCAGTCTCTTATTTCTACTTTTTTCACATCCCCTTGGCCTGCATCTCCTCTTGCTAAGACTATGGCACTAGCCTCCAAAGTAGCCACAAACTTTCCCTTCCTCCACCCCCCACGAGGCATCTTGTATAGGATTGTGTAGATGCTCAGACACATCTGGTCATATTGTCATCTCCAAAGACTTGCTTGGTTCTAGCTAAATGAGACTTTTAATATCAAGCTAAAGAGTTTTTGTGCAGCAAAGGAAACTACCAACAAAACGAAAAGACAACCTACTGAATAGGAGAAAATATTTGCAAATGTTACATCTAAGAAGGGGTTAATATCCAAAATATATAAAGAACTCATACAATGTAACACCAAAAAACACACAACGACCCAATTGAAAAATGGGCAGAGGATAGAGTGGCTCAGTGGAGAGAGTGTGGGCCTGCAGACCAAAGGGTCCTTGGTTCAATTCCAGTCAAGGGCATGTGCCTTGGTTCAGGCTCTTCCCCAACTCAGGCCCTGGCTGAGGCACATGCAGGAGGCAACCAATCAATGTGTTTCTCTCACATGGATGTTTCTCTGTGTCTTTCCCTCTCTCTTCTATTCTCCCTAAAAAATCAATGGGAAAATATCCTTGGGTGAAGATTAAAAAAAACAAAAAACCCACCACCATAACAACAAAATGGGTAGAGGACCTGAATTGATATTTCTCCCAAGATAACACACAAATGGCAAACAGACATATGAAAAGATGCTCAATGTCACTAATCATCAGAGAAATGCAAATAAAAATCACAATGAGTTATCACCTCACACCTGTCAGATGGCTATCATCAATAAATCAACAAATAACAAGTGTTGGTGACGATTTGCTCTAAAGGGAACCCTCATGCACTGTTGGTGGGGTTGTAAATTAGTACAGCCATATGGAAACCAATATGGAGATTCCTCAAACACATTAAAAATAGAACTTTCATATGATCCAGAATTCCACTTTTGAGTATTTACCTGAAGAAAACAAAAATTCTAATTCAAAAAGATATGCACCCCTATGTTCATTGCAGCATTACTAGTAATAGCCAAAATATGGAAGCAACCTAGATGTCCATCAATGAATGAACATCAGTGGAATATTATTGAGCAATAAATAAGAATGAAATTTTGCTGTTTGCAGCAATGTGGATGGACCTAGCGGATATTATGTTAAAAGAAGTAAGTCAGACAGAGAAAGCCAAATATCGTATTATTTCACTTATACATATGTGGAATCTAAAAAACAAAATAAATGAATAAATAGAAACAGACCCATAGATGCAGAAGAGAACAAGCTTAGTTGCCAAAGGGAAGGGGCTATGAAGTGAGAATAATTTTTTAAAAATCTATTATGTAACAGGTAGAGTTCTAGGCCCTGGAGATATAGGTTGAAAAAGACTGAGCTTTAGAATCCATAGAATAAAATGCTCCCAGTTTCTCAAGTGGCACTAATGCACATTCATTTAAAAAAAGAGAGAGAACACAGGAGTAAATCTTCACGTCCTTGAGTTAATCGTTTCTAATATATGATACCAAAAGCACAAATGACAGAAGAAATAAAGAGAACTTCATCAGAATTTTTAAAAATTTTGTGATTCCAAGTATACTATCAAAAAAAAAAAAGTGAAAAGGCAACCCAAGAATGGGAGAAAATATTTGCAAATCATAAAGCCAATAAGAATCTATTACCCAGCCGAAACCAGTTTGTCTCAGTGGATAGTGTGTCAGCCTGTGGACTGAAAGGTCCCAGGTTCGATTCAGGTCAAGGGCATGTACCTTGGTTGCGGGCACATCCCCAATAGGAGATGTGCAAGAGGCAGCTGATCGATGTCTCTCTCTCATTGAAGTTTCTAACTCTCTATCCCTCTCTCTTCCTCTCTGTAAAAAAATCAATAAAATATATTTTAAAAAAATCTATTACCTATAAAACATAAAGGACTCTTACAACTCAAAAATAAAAAAGCAAATATCCAAAGTAGCATGGAGAGACTTGGAGAGTATTTTGCTAGGCAAAATAAGCCAGTCAGAAAAAGACAAGTATCACATGATCTCTCTTAAATATGGAATCTAATGAACAAAATAAAATGATGAATAAAATAGACCCAGAGACATGGAAGCATGGAACAGACTGACAAATCTCAGAGGGAAAGGGGAGGCTGACAGGCAAGGGGGGGGGGGGGGGGAGGTGGAGATTAATCAAAAAACTTACTTGCGTATATACATAATCCATGTATAGACAGTAGTGCAGAGAAGTGGTAAATGTGGAGGGGAGGGAATAATATAAAAATTAAAAATGGATAAATTATTTGGATAGACGTTTCTCCAAAGAAGCTTTACATGTCCAGTAAGTACATGAAAAGATGTTCAAAAACCTTTAGTCATTAGGGAAATACAATGACTAAGCTATAATGAGGTACACTTCATAACTCTTAATATTGCTAAATGAAAGAAGAGAGTTTGAAAAGAATAGATACTTTGTTAACTACATTTATATGACACTATCCTATATAATATAATAAAAGGCTAATATGCAAACTGACTGAATAGCAGAACGAATGACCAGTCGCTATGATGCACACTGACCACCAGGGGGAAGATGCTCAATGCAGGAGCTGCCCCCTGGTGGTCAGTGCACTCCCACAGGGGGAGCACTACTCAGCCAGAAGCCATGCTCCCGCCTGGGGTGGACATCCCTCAAGGGCTTCCGGACTGTGAGAGGGCATAAGCCAGGCTGAGGGACCCCACCTCCCCCCCCCTCGCCCCCCTGCGTGCACTAATTTCATGCACTGGGTCTCTAGTACAGATAATAAACAGATTAGTGGTTACCAGGAGCTTAAGAGAGGAAGGCTGATTAGGTGAACTATGTGTGTATGTTGTGTATTTATGTGGGGAGGGATGTTATAATGCAAAAAAATGAATGAATGAAACTCTTAAAACTTCCATATAGTTGAGTGCCTTCCACTTTGTGGGAACAAGGCATGATAAAGCCAGCAGAACATGTTTATCTTCTTCCTCTGAGCCTTCACTATGAGCTTTGGACCGGTAATTAGTGCCACTCCTGGACACTCACCTCCATTCTCCACCTACTCCCTCACCATCCATCTGTTCAAGGCGTAACTCTTGTTCTGCTTTCCAATAAGTTTCTTTGGATCTCTGGTGTCCTTAGGGTGTGCTGTTTTGTCTGTACTCATATGTAGTCTTCATTGATATTGGTTTAACTTGAAGGTTAGACAGAGTAGACAAGTTTAAACTCCTTGGGGCCAAGGATTCATGTCTTTGGCACTTAGAACAGGACTGTGTGTGTATAACAGGCCCTGGCGTACTTCTTTTAAAGGATTTCTGTGTCTGAACAGGTAAAAATTGGTGTGAAGAAGACATGGAGAATGGAGGATGTGAATACCTATGTCTGCCAGCACCACAGATTAATGACCACTCCCCAAAATACACATGTTCCTGTCCCAACGGGTACAACCTACGGGCAAATGGCCGGGAGTGCCAAAGTAAGACTTTTTTACTTTTCATCCACTAGCCAGACATACCGCAGGCCATAGAATAAGACACTAGCTATGAAAACTAGCCTGGGTTTGAAGAATTCCGTTTTAACTAACTCTAGGAATGGCTTTGAGAACCTGCCTGGTACTGTTGCCTACCAGGTATTCACGGCATTACTTCAGAGCTGACTTTTAACTGCTTTCAACATCAGATGAGTCTACATAAGTGACATTTCCGTCCAAGTATTCACAGGCCTCTTGTTGATTAGTCCCATGACGAGACTGAGCTTGGCAGCGTGCAGATAACAGAACAAAGCCTTCGCGTTTCTTCTGAAGAGGGAGGCCAGAAATTATGCACAAAGAAGGTTATGGTTACAGGAAACCTCCTAGCCCCAGTGTAGGACACTATCTTAAACTCACACTCAAACTTACATTTTTAGTCTTCTGTTCTTAGCTTTTGGTTGAGTGGCAAATTCAGCTCACACATGTTGTGAGCAAGGAGCTCGTGTTGTGAGGTTTTTATTAGCTTAATCCCGAGTCCCCGCAGGGACTAGCTCCGTTTCCTGAGAAAGTAGTTGCAAGACAGACAATCTGGGGTAAGACTAGTATGCCTGGTCATCTATTTTCAAGAGCATTTCTTTTTTTTTTTTTTCTTTTTTTAAAAATATATTTTTATTGCTATCAGAGAGGAAGACAGAGGGAGATAGAGAGAGAAATATTAATGATGGAAGAGAATCATGGATTGGCTGCTTCCTGCATGCCCCCGACTAGGGTATCAAACCCACAACCCAGGCATGTGTCCTGACTGGGAATCGAACAATGATCTCCTGGTTCAACCACAGAGCCCCCGCTGCCAGGCTCACGGGCATTTTTTTGTAATTTTCAGGAGCCTGGACATTGCTTAGAGGGGTCATGAAGTGTGGCTGTGTGTCTTTTCTAATTGTCAAATTTCAAATGCTTGCTCTTCTGCCTAAAGTCTCATGTGTCTTGTTTTGTCTGAAGACTGCTCTTTCTCCCAGTTTTTATGCATCCACCATGCAACTTAGTTCAGCAGTGATGTGTCTGTTTCCCGTGGTATTAAAATAGCCTAGGCAGGGCTCATCTGGACTAAACAACTAGCCACTCTGGAACCTTGGCATTAACCAGGTTCTTGGTTTTTGTAATTCAGGTACTGCAACTACTATGACTTACAGTGAGACAAAAGATACCAACACAACAGAAATGTCACCAACTAGTGGACTAGTTCCTGGAGGTATTGGGTTCAGTATTGCCAACTGTTAATCTCAACTAATAGCCACACTTTGTATCTATTACTTAAATGATTAATACAGCCTTTAACTACTAGCTCTGCCCCGATTGGTAACCTGCTTTTAAACTTCAAAGACTAAGGAGCTTTAAGTCTTAGCCTGACCTGACTTATTAAGGTTTGTGTTAGAGAAATGTTAATGAAATGGTATAACAGCATGTGACTCTCAAATACTTCTGGATCAGTTTTTGCTGGTAATACAATCAGTAGATACTGAGCATCCCTGATGGATGCAAGGGTATGAGGCTCTCCACTAGATGGGTGCATTTCCAAGTCTGAGTTCAGATTCTTCTAAACTGATTCTTTTCATCCCCCTATAGGGATCAACATGACCACAGCAGTATCGGAGGTCAGTGTTCCCCCAAAAGGGACTTCTGCTGCTTGGGCCATCCTTCCCCTCTGTAAGTCAATTCTTTATATATGTGGAGCCCGTGAACTTCTTAGATACCAGATGGGCATTTACAGCTCATCTAGAGACATAGTTCCCATGGCCCCTTGTATTTTCATAGCTCTCATGATACTGAATTACATTTTACTCTCTCCCCAACATGGCACACTGAGTTGAGAGTCCATGCCTTTCTCTTCAGTGGTATCCTTCCTACAGTGAGTGGCAGTGATAAATGTTCAGCTATTACATGAAGGGTGCTTATAGCTTTCTACTTTAGAATGGTTAGTATGGCTTACCCCCTTTCACAATAAGTCCCTTTAAGTAAAGAAAACTGTTCTAATTCTCTTTGAAATACATATATATATATATATATATATATATATATATATATATAGTATTTCATACAGAGGAGATACAATGCTTAAATGCTTTCTTGAAGAATTATAAGACTTACAGGGTATAAATTAAAAATAGTGAAGAATTTCAAAACCAGGGAGATGAATCTCTAAAGCTACTATTGAGTATGTGAATGCTAAGGCACTATGCTATAATGGCCTCTTTATCCTAAATTAATAGGTTGCAAGCTTAGCTAACACACTAGGAGGCCCCTTTGAAGAGTTCTCCAGAAACTTCAGCAGATTTTTTTATTATTATTATTCTATTTTATTGATTTTTTTTTACAGAGAGAAAGAGAGAGGGATAGAGAGTTAGAAACATCGATGGGAGAGAAACATCGATCAACTGCCTCCTGCACACACCACACTGGGAATGAGCCCGCAACCAAGGTACATGCCCTTGACCAGAATCGAACCCAGGACCTTTCAGTCTGCGGGCCGTCGCTCTATCCACTGAGCCAAACCGGTTTTGGCACTTCTGCAATTTTAATTCATTCTGCCTGGGAAGGGACCTTGGATACTTGGTTTCCCCAGTCTACCAGACTATGGAATAAAACTTAACCATTGGTCTGAACTTGTTTTAAGCTCCTGCTCATTTAGACTCTAACTTCCAGTTATCTCAGCTTCATAGAACATGAAACTTTTAGGAATATTGCTTATGGACTCATGAACATGATCTTTTTTTCTGTGTTTGGAGACTAGACCTTGCTTAGTTGCCTTCTAACTTTTTTCAGTGCTCTTAGCAATGGCAGCCGTAGGTGGCTACTTGATGTGGCGGAACTGGCAACACAAGAACATGAAAAGCATGAACTTTGACAATCCTGTGTACTTGAAGACCACTGAAGAGGACCTGTCTATAGACATCGGTAGACACAGTGCTTCAGTTGGACACACGTACCCAGCAGTAAGTCAGCTTTGTGTCCTTTTATGCCATGGCTTGCAGTAAGACTTTTTGGTAAGGAAACTTCAAACTCAAGCTATGACTGTCTGGGCTAGGAAGAGCCAGTAGGATTATGGAACCACCAAATACTTCTTCTACCAAAGATTAGACAGTCTAGCCTGTTAGAACATAATTCAGACAGTTGATAAGCACCTGCCCCATACAGGATGACAACTTCAGGTCATCACTATACTATTGGAAGTATTTTTGGTTATAGAAACTACATGTAAACATTTACATGAACTAAGTAACTCCTTTTTGAACTGTTAAATAAGTAAATTAGCATATCATATATAGGAGAGTTAGCTTAAAGTCAATGTGTTGAAGATTCTTTTTTTTTTTTACCAAATTACCAAATGCTTGGAAGTGTCCTATCCCACCTAGAAGAGGTAGCTAATTTTTCACTCAGTCACTTGTTCTTTAGTTGAAACCCAAATGGAGTATTTGGCCTTCATTTAGGGACCAGCCTGAACAAAACAAGTGCTGAGCACTCCCTCTCCAACATTCTGGTAAAACAAAGAATGGTAGCCAATTCATGGCACATGTGTGTCTTTTCATATTTTTCTCCAGGACTTAAGATCATTAAGTAGAAGATGCAGAATTAGTCACACTGTTTCCTCTCTCTCTACCAAGCATTCACAGCTAAATTCAAGTTAAACAGCATTAGTGACACAACTCAATACTATTTTGAGTCTGACTTCCCTTCTGTGCACTTTTGATTTCTCAATGGCCAACTCAAAAGCAAAGTCCGTTTTAGCGATTAGAAGGGCTACCAATGAGTGATCAAGCTCACTCCATATTTTTTTCTTTTCCACAGATATCAATTGTAAGCACAGATGATGATCTAGCTTGATTTTGGAGACAAGTCTCAACCTTTGAGATCTAAACCAATAACTCTCCAATTTGGAATGGTAACCGAGTCAGCAGCCTGGAAGAACATCTTTCTTCCTCCAGCCTGGAAGAACATCAAGATATCTACGTGGATCAAGCTTGTGTACTTGACCATTTTTATATGACTTTCATAAATATTCCTGTCCACACTCTGCTTCAGCTTTGGATGTGGTTCCCTATAACCCTTGAATTTCTAGACAGTATTGCCACCTCTGGCCAAATATGCACTTTCCTTAGAAAGCCATATTCCAGCAAAGAAACTTGTGCTATAGTGTATACCACCTGTACATACATTGTATAGGCCACCTGTAAATATCCCAGAGAACAATCACTATTCTTAAGCACTTTGAAAATATTTCTATGTAAATTATTGTACACTTTTTTCAATGGTTGGGACAATGGCAATAGGATAAAACGGGTTACTAAGATGAAATTGCCAAAAAATTTGTAAACTAATTTTGTACCTATGAATGAAATCTTTGACCTCAATGGAGGTTTGCAAAGACTGAGTGTTCAAACTACTGTACATTTTTTTTCCAAGTGCTAAAAAAATTAAACTAAGCAGCTTAACCATGGTTGATGCCTATTCCTCTAGGACACATGTGTCAAACACAAGGCCCGCGGGCCAAATTCGTCCCGCCAGGCCTTGCAATGTGGCCCGCACCGCGCTGTCATCACTGCACTCCACTGCGTTTCCATCACAATGACAGTTTATGACTGTTCAGTAAACCATTCGGCCCGCAATTTAGGCTGGATTTTAGATTTTGGCCCCTTCTCTGATTGAGTTTGACACCCCTACTCTAGGAGAAACTATAAACAGTCTAAATAGTATCAAATGTTCTAACTAAATACACGATGTTACATAATTAAGTCTATAATATTGCTAATTTTTTAAATAACCATCATGAAAAGGACAAGGTACTACTAAATATTTCCTCTGCAACAATTTATTTTGTAAAAACAAACAAACAAAAAACCAAACAACAACAACAACAACAAAAACTAGGGTACTATGTACCTGGAATTCCTCTTGCTTAGAGGGAACTTTCTTTTCTCATTAATTTGTTTCCTGATCTAGAAACATATGCTAAGATTTCTATCAATTCAGCTTCTTCATATTAAATTCACTTTCCATCTTCTATAATTACATATATATATCAAGGACTAGTGCCTTTTAAGGTATGGGAAAGGACTTTCTTCCTTATGAGTCTAGCCAGTCCACCATGAAGAGAGCTAAGAAGAAGAACAAGTAGTACCATTCTTGAACAATCTAAAGTAGTGGCTCTCAGAGAGTTTAAGGTTAGCATCTGTATTACCTGGGAACTTGTTAAAAATGCTAGGTCAGAAGCTCTGGAGGTGGGGTCCAGGAATATGTGTTTCCACAAGCCCTTCAGGTGATGTTGTAAACTAATGTTTGAAAATCACTGTTCCAATGTTGTTCCATGAAGAATCTATAATATCTTCTAATTTCTCAGTCCAGCTGGCATAGAATGGATTCCTTCTAGGGACAATTTTTAAAACATTTAGTACGAAAAGCAGATTTTAGGTAGAAGAAGCAGCAGCACAGGGAATTAGTTAAGTTTTCTATCCGATTGGCCAAGACTTCCTTTCTCTAAATACCAACAAGTAGAGGAATATATAAGGCTTGAAGCCCTGGGAAAAATTTTAAGTGGCCTTTGCAAGCTATTTAGAGAGAAATAATCCCAGCTATTCAACCAGCTCCTGGAAAATATTCTTATAGCAATTTTAAAGCTTTGGTATGACTTTCAAGCCTTTGTGTTCTATTCTTGATAGAAACACAAGAAAAGAAGAGGAGGAGTGGAAGTAGGCCCTCACTTTGGCTCTCTTTTCTGTTCCTTTTATCCAAGTCAGATAGTCCTCGAAGGAGAAGGAGAAAGAGAAGGAGAAGGAGGAGGAGGAGGAGGAGAAGAAGCAGGCTTTAAATAGAAAAACTATAGGACATTTCAAGGACTAACTTCCATTCACACTTGGAAATGGGAGACTTTAAAGTATAATGTTTTAACTATCTTCACCCCCAACCAAAAAATTCTGATGGGATGTATTCCTATATCAGGTAGTCTAAATGGAGTGGTTTCCTAGAATTCTTACCTAGGAAAGCAGCTTATTCTTTTGTATCCAAGGGAACTAGGATCCTTGTCTTGCTTTTAATGGTGGGGGGAAACTCACAGAACAAACAAAAATAATATACACTGAATTTGAGCCCTTCAGTTACATAATCAAGTATTCAGCCTTACTCTTTGGGAAAACTGAGAATGGCATGTCCCCGTTTTAGGCATATCATGGATCTCACTGTAGTTTAGGAATACATAAGAGTAGTAAGTCTTCAAATGGGTCTTGTTTCCAAATACAGGGGGAATGTATAATAAGATTAAACAATGGTTCATTTTTTTGGACTCATTTCTCTCAAATCAAGCACAGAAGCTTTTCAGCTTCATGTAAAGGGTCATCGTCCTTCTTTGCACATTCCTCATGCCCATGTGCCTTCACACAAGAAAAGTTGAATGTGAGTTGGCAGTGAGGGCCTGTCTGAAATGTGGGGGTTCAGAGATAAGCTACTGAGAAACAGGTTAAGTTCTGGTCCATCTCTCTATCATCTCCTGAATCTGTTTCATGTTTTTGAGGCTGGCTCATCAGAGAAACAGGAACAAATGGGCTCCACTGGCTGACAGCCCCCCATAAATCTCTTTCCATCTATGCTCACTGAGGCTGAGGGGAGGGCGCCAGCTCTGCAGGTGACTGTGTGGCACATCATACACTGTTTTCTTCTTCACTGTGCTCAAGGGGAAAGTGAGGAGATGGGCAGCACTGACAGGTTGTACCTTGGGTAAGTTACTGATATTCTCTCTAAATAGAGATGATGGGACTACCTTCTGCACATGGTCAGGATTAAGTGAGAACGCACAGGAAGCGCTCATGACAGCCTCTGGCATTTAGCAGGTGCAGAGCAAATATCACTGCTAAAAAATCACTTTCAACGATATGCCTCTCTCTGCGTGTACTGTGACATCGTCCAGAAACCGAGAAGCACCTTTGCCAGTGAGAGATACAGGTAATGAATCAATATGGAGGGTAACCCGCATTACACATTTTCCCAGGTGTTTTCCCACTACGCCTGTCGGACGAGACTGAAGTCTGAAATGGAAGGGTGATATCGCTTTTGTGTAGTTAGAAGGCTTAAAGGACTGCGTGGTTGAAGCCCCAGAAACAGTTGGGCTGGTTTTGCCTCAGCCTTTTGACTTTACAGCCCGAGGCACGGAAGCCAATAGTCGCAGTCTCCCTCCACGTTTTGCCATGTGCTTCATAACAGGCTACATACATGCTCTTGTGTGTTTTATTTGAACTTCACAGCACCCTGAGTAGGTAAGTATTATTCCAATGTGAAAGCTGAGGCTATAAATAACATGTGATTTTCATACCTTATGTGCTTATCGCCGCCTCCTCTCAGGAAAAGGGGCAGTGCTGTGTGAAGGGGAAGTTGGGTGTCACATTGTTTGCTGAGTCCCCGTGGCTACTGACCTTGGGATGCTGCAGCACGTCCTCGGGTGTCTCTGGGCCCTTACGGCTGGCTTCCACTGCGGCCGTGTACAAGCATAGGAGGTTAGCATTCTTCATCAGGCTGGTTACCTGTCATGCCTGTAAGAGACCACAAGTTCCAAAATTCTTTTCCTTTGCCATCTATGTGAAGCAGAAGTAGAATACTAGATTGCAAAGGAGAAAAGAAAGCCCTGGCCAGTTTGGCTCAGTGGATAGAGCATCAGCCTATGGACCAAAGGGTCCCAGGTTTTTTTCTCTCACATCGATGTTTCTCTCTGCCTTTCCCTCCCTCCTCCACTCTCCCTAAAAAAAAAAAATCAATGGGGAAAAAAAAAAAATATCCTCAGGCGAGGATTAACCAAATAGAAAAGAAAGAGTCCCTAAAGGAGTTTGTAGGCATGTGACATCATTCCTGCGTATAAAATATTGGGGGAAACAAGCTGTGAGAGAGCAAACCTTAAGTGTTAGGACTGTCATAAAGAGAGACGTGCCCAAGAAGACAGGAAGAACGGTTGCTTGTGTCAGTGAGTGATGGTGCTGTAACTCCAGGGCTTGATTTTAGATATTATGGAATCCACCCCCAGAGACCTCAGTATTTCTCCATTTACCTAGGGAGAAAAGGATTCTTTGAACCTATCAGTAATGACTGGCTTTGGGGAAACTATCGTGCCCCTTTAAAAATTGCACTTGATACCAAAATGTGCCATACGTGCAACCCAATGGTCCTTCTCAGGAGCTTCAGAACTCCAGAGGTACCTGTCGGAACGCACCCAGGCCTGGTGACCTGTGGATAAATGTTCTTCTTTCATTTATGAACTGTACATTTATCTGAAATAAAAGTTTATTTTTGATATGCTTATGGCAAGCTTTTTTCTAAAATCTTTCGCTCAGATCTTTCTCCTTTTCTTAGCTGAATCACTGCAAATGGCTCCGTCATCCCTTTCTGAGAAAGTATTAAAACCACCCAATTGAAAGAATGAGAGATGTCCCCTTGTTATGCTTAGCAGTACAATTAGTGCTTTACCATAGGCAGCCACTGTGCTCCCCTCTCAAACCCTCCCTGTCCACTCCTGCCATGAAAGAAACGAAAACCAAAGCTGCTATGACCAAGAGCCATGAGCCCAGAGCTCCGTCCCTTGAATTGAGAGCAAGTGGCACCTGGGAAAAGGGAGGACACCTCAGGGCGGCAGGACAAGACAGGCCGTGAGAAGCAAGTACAATCATTTCCATCTTCTCATCAGCTCTGACACAGTCTGTGTTGAAATTTATTTACAACAAGGCTAAAGTTTGAGACCCTTAGTATATTCCATGTTAAACTTTTCCCAGTCAATGGCCCCCAATTATTTGAATTATATCAGGTGCTAAACCTTCAAATTGGCTCAGGGAACCCAAAAATGTAGTGAAAGAAAATTAAGTAAATTGAGGACAAGAGAAACTGCCACAAAAAAAAAACAACTTTAAAATCTCAATAGCTAGTCCTTAATGAATTCAGTGAATACCAACTTTGCAGTGAGTTGGATATAACTTTGGATGTTTCCTCTCTTACTTAACTAACTGTGGCCACGGTAAGTTGCTTACCATCCAAATTTCTGACCGCCTCTGAAAATTATGACACCTAACTAAATAGGAATCTCATAAGAGAGAAAGGCAACACACATAAAGTGTTCTGTCACAAAGGATGGCTGCTATTTTTCTTTCTAGTGCCAAAAAAGAAAAAAAATCATGATTCATTACCAAAAAAGGTAGTTCAAGTTCTTTATGTGTGCCCTGGCTGGGTGGCTCAGGAGCATCATCCCATACACCAAAAGACTGCAGCTCAATTCCAGGTCAGGGCACATACCTAGGTTGTGGGTTCGATCCCAGAAGGGAGCATATGGGAGGTAATCAATCAATGTTTCCCTCTCTTGTCGTCTCTCTTTAAAATCAATAAAATACATCCTCAGGTGAGGATTTAAAAGAAATTCTTTCCTTCTGCCCGTTTGGAGAACTGATTAGGGTCTGCACTCATTAAATCCCATTT